CGGCTTAACGAGCGGTAAATTTTTTTTTTTTTTTCATTTTTTGATCTTCTTTATCCAGTCGTATTTTCTTAATTTTTGCTTCTCTTAACCTTTAAGTTAAGTCAGTCATGCATGTGGCATTTGATTTATATCTCAAGATAGGCAGTTATTTAAACTGTCGAGCATAAACAGTTGTTTCGGATAATTATCGTCGATATCTGAGAACAGTTCAAAGTCGGCGCCCGCGCCGCGCACTAGTTCAATGTTAGCGCGCCCGCGCTGGGGGTCGCACTATCGCCGATTGCAGCCGCTGTTTTTACAGCAGTACTTGCGAAATCCAACAACATCCATCCTTGAAATCAAGGTGGCTATTAGTAGTTGATTTCATTAGCTCTTAATGAGTCGCTCCGTTGATGAGCGTGCCCGATCCATTGACAATCGTGGAGTACTCCCGCTAACGGTTGCCTTCTCAAAAAATCAGAAAACCGGATTTATCCGCCACAAAAGCCAGACTTTTGGGTCCTACGGCCGGATGGACGCTAAAAAAAGTATTTTTTGACTATAAGTTCAAATAAAAACACATGAAGTTACCATTTCATTTGCATAATTTTCTTTACTCGGCACGTCTGAACGACGGACTAACTCGTGTAGAGTAAAGTGTGTGGCTTGCTTGCATCAAAAGGAAAAAGCCTAGCAAAAGCCGGACAGGTCGAGCGCAGTAAAATTGGCTCAGACAAGAGATCAAAAAACCTAACACTGACGGCTTTATTCGGGTGGATAGCAATTCCCGCCGTCCGTCCTGCATAAAACGGATTTTTTTCAGTTCGAACAAAAAAAAGAATTCGAAGGCAGCGCTAGCTCAAGAAGCACCCGTTTACTAAACAACCATATAAGGTGGCATTTTGGGGATTGGACAAGGAAAGGTGCTACCGTGACGTGGACATGCGGGGCTGCTGATTTTTATTTGTGTCAATCATTAGGTGGTTTTGTCGTAATTGCCACGCTAGGCAGACGGGTTGGCGATCGCAGTGTGGCCATGGAATTGAAGGAGAAGACGCTGCTATCCGTCATGACCCCCATGACCCCCCCCCTGTATCCGCCCTTGCCCGTAGTCGCCTTCTACGACACCCATGGGACAAAGGGGAGTGGTGCTATTCTAGGCTGGAACACACACGGCACTTTTTCGTAAAGTTCATGTTAATTACAACACAAAGTAATCTGAGAATATTTACTTCCATAGCGTGCGCTTTTCCATTTTACGGGGGACAAATATTCGCACATCGTGTGCGTTGGGTCCGTGACAAGTCCTCTTCGTGTGCGCAAGCTAATAAGGTGGTAAGCGGTTTGCTTTGGATTTCCATAGTGGCCTAGGAGTAAAAACAATCATAAGTATGGGACGTGTCAGCACTGCAATCCTAGTGAAGAATGCAGTAAGTGACGATTTTTCAAGAAATGAGTTAATTATTTAAAATTCGGAATGGACAAAACGTGCTTTATATAATGGTTTGATCCCGGTAACGATAACTACTCGGGAACATATGGTTTTGTTATGGCAGGATGCCTTGCCTCCAGAAATATTTTGGAGATCCTAAAATTGCTTGATATGAATGCAGTATGAATTCTTACTGCACCTTGGTCAGACAGATGTCTTCTATTATATACATAAATAAAAAATGTTTCACAATAAATAAAAAAATGTTCTATAAATTTCCTTTTAATTTCGTGCACAAAAATAAGAAGTTCTTTTTAAAATTCATTTTGATTAACTGATTTTAGCCGTTGCGCCTCTTGAGAGTTGATATTGTTGTGATAGTGTAACATTATTCGAGTAAGAATGAACAATATAATGACACCTAATAGAAAGCGGTAATAAGTTTCATAAATTTACTCGTTTACAATAACAACAAGCGGGAGGATAAGGTGGATTGGTCACCCAATAAAAATTGTAGCTACCATCGGAGCGTGACGGTCGAAAAACACCGCCCGCGCCCCGGGACGGGAGTCATAGCGTTAGTACGAAACTCGTTCGGCGCGCGCAAAAAACAGAAACACCTCACGTTTAATTGCATGCCTAATCGACGGAGCCGATTTCTTACATGATTTTTTTGGAGAATTGGCAAAAAAGAGCGTTGTTATTGCGCCTGTACTGTGGGGTCGCCCCGTGCATCGGTGGCTGTAGCCGTGATGACTTCAGTAAGAGTCAAAAATAAGAACCGTCACAATAGAGTAGTCATTTGTGTAATTATTTAAATTATTTATTATTTGTTAAATTCTCTTTTGTAAAATTTATTTATATTGCGATACCCTGGCAGGGTTCATGTTAGGTACTTTATGCATTTTGTACCTTGTAACCATCCATGTAACCACATGAGTGCAATAAATTGAATTGAATTGAATTGAATATTTATAGTTATGATTTTATTTATTTTTTAAGCATTTAACTGCTAGATGTTTAAATGTAAAGAAAAGTTTACTAAAAAAAAATCCACGCGGACCAGGCAGCGGACGGGACTCGAACCCGCATCCTTCGCTATCCGGGCGAATGCACTGACCATTATGCTACCACGGCCCTATTAGCCGCGTCGAAATTTTCCTAGCCTTAAGCTGCAAGGCAGCGCCATCTCTTCGCATTGTAGGTAACCCACAATGTCAAATGAATACTTTTTCAAGTATTAAACATTTGAAAGAAGAAATAGCAATTATAGTTATGATTTTTTTATTTTTTAAGCACCCGTCCACTGCCTGGTCCGCGTGGATTTTTTTCTAGTAAACTTTTCTTTAAATTCAATATTTATTTCAAAAGCGATCTCCGCGCAACTTTCATGTCATATTGATATTATAGAAAATATAAATTGTCTTAGCAACTCCTACGACATTTTAAAGGACGTATTCAACGATACTTCACACGATGGGGTAGACAGATAAAAAAGGTCATCCCCACTTTGCCTGTAGGGGAGCTACCATAGAGAAATCAGCCGTGTTAATTTATGAGACCTACCCGCGTCAGCCGTGTTGCTCTATGGGAGCTACCCTAAAAAAATATTTATCAAAATTTTATTCTACCCCTTTGTCGGCATCATTGATATGCATACTCCACCACAAAATTACAGCTCTAGTGCCAATAGTTTCGAAGTAAAACTTCGGATGGACAGACAGACATGACGAACCTATATTGGTTCCTTGTCAGGACTACGGAACCCTAAAAAGTTAAGTTTTTACCAAATTTCATGAAAAAAAAGGTGTTTTCTGTGGTAGATTATAACAAGAAACCAAAAAGTCGGTATGAGAAAAAAGTTTTTTTTAGGTAGAAGTTTGTAGTTTTCTCGAAAATCGTGTAAAACTCCCCGCTCCCTCTCCCCCTAAAAGGTCACCCCACACACTTCCCGATCCCAAATCGCCCGTAATTTATATTACGGGCAATTTCATGCCTTGGAGCTGTGAAAAAATCAAACTTCTAAGTCAAAGCAATCAAAAGATAAAGTTGCAACTTTTCTTGTAATAATTTATTATAATTATAACTCAATCACCATGAAAAATTAAAAAGTTATAATTGCATCTATCATATTTCTTTTGATACTCAAAAATTACCACCGAGTGGAATCAATAATTTTATCGCATTCTAAAAAGTGGTGAGAATTGTGTCTATCCTATGAGATTCATGAATATATAATGAATAAAATACTTGATTACTACTTACCGATTGAAACAGATTTAGAGGAAGTCGTAATACTCTCTTTAAGAAAATTCAAAATTTTCCCCTCCAGTTTACTATCGAGAAGTGGAATTCATTCGTAATAATCCTATAACACATCGAGGTAGCAATGTTATCTTTGATTGCTAAGGTTTAAAGATTGTTATGTATGAGTAGGGGTAAAAAGCAGTTTTTTAAACTAACTGATTTCATTGAATATCAAACATAATGTGGCGATTAGGTATTACTCTCGTTCGGCATTACCGTTGTTCCCAGCCTATTCTTTTAACCATGGTAATGCCAAAGTTTACGTGGTACGGCAACCAATTTCATTTCTAGTGTTTATTAAAAATAATGAAGCATGAAGCGATTGATACATTTTAAAGTTTTTATTTCGTTTGGAATTACATTTGGATGAAAAACACATTCAATTATGATTCAGTTAGCAAAACAAGACGGGTTTTTGTTTTTGTTTCCAACACTTTAACTGTGACGAAGATAAGGGCCGCACGTAGGGATCCTATATCTGAGGATTTGGATAGAGAAATCAGGATTTTTATTTTAGAGATCTCAAAATAGAGTTTATTATTTCAATATTTTGAGAGCGTGACCTCTTCGAGATCCCCTTTGTACAAAACCAACCAATAATAATATGAATTTCCGAAATATTTTTTTTTGTGGGAAAGCTATAAATTACGACAAAATCTTACTTTTTTTTCAAAGGAAATCATGGTTTTTCTCCGTGTAGGTACGCTCTCAGAAGTGACATTCGAGCAATCGACGCACGAGCGAGCGCCGCGCCGGCTAGCGCTTTCGATTTCACAGCAAACGTCACGTTACGATACCTAAAGACTACATTGTTCTCCCCTCTCTAAATTCATCGCACAACTACGGTATTTTGGAATTAAAAGCAGTTCCGATTACGTAGTTTTATTATTTAGTTAAGTAACTTATGGTTGTTCTGTACCCTTAGTAGTACGAGTTTTACAATTACGATTTCGTTATAAAAAAAGGTTTGCTATAGGCATACTACTATATATGTATTTAAAAAGTTCTTCTATCTGAAGGCACTGCAACATTACAATGTGAAAAAATAATACAACTGCTTACTAGATCTAAAATAATAATACAACTGCTTACTAGATCTACTGAGAACAAACTATGGAAGTTGGACTTATCCTCCGACGAAGCCAAGAAAAGCTACATTGGCATTGGCGTTGCCATTCAAATTCTACCAGGACCTCATCGTACCCTTGTAACAGAAGGCACACTGCTGTCGCACACACTTACCAGTCATCGGAACCGTATCTTACCTGATGTGTTGTTACAGATGGCGAGGCAGCGTGTACAAGTTAGTGTGGCGCGAGCTGCTGGCCTACCTCACACTGTACTACACCATCAACTTGCTGTACCGGTTCGGCTTGTCAGAAGAACACCAGAGGTGAGATTTTTTGAAACGAAATCTGGGGCGAAAAAAGTGTAAGATATCAGTCAGCTGTCGCCGTTGGGTTAGGGTTATTTTTTTTTAACTTAGTTTCAACCGAGTGTTCCATTCCACGACACTCACTTTTACTTTAGTACAAATGACTCCATCCAACAACAAAGTAAGAAGACAGTAGAACCTGGCGAAACGTCCGCACATATTATTGAGATATCGGGTCATCTCAGGAGATTATTTTACCTAAAAGTAGGAAGCTGCGCTTATGTGTGTATTTATTTTTTGATATGTCTATGTTAATTTTGTATGGAGTTGAGAGACAAATCCGAGTATTCGGATTTAATTTCTATGTCTATAGTAACGGTAAGTAACATAATTTTAATTGCGTTTACTGGTTAACTTGGTCTTGCCACTTGCTCCGTGCTGATTGCTTACATTATTGTTTTAATAATAAAATTGTTCTTGCTCAATTGTTTTCCGAGAAGAATTTATGTGAATCTACATTTTCGTGATTTTGTTACCTTCAATCTGTTTTCTGTAAATCTATTGATATTTTAAATAGGTACTTTACTTCAATCTCATTTGTCGGTTACTATAAAAAACGTAGATCCCTCCTCTTATTTCGTGTAGTCTATTAAATTAGTAACACCTAAAATGTTTATTTTGAATAATTTAAAAATAAAAGTTGAAGGTTCTGGAATTTTTAAAGATCATTGACGGAATATAATTTTATATGAGAAACAAGTCATTCTACTCAGATGAAGTCACGGTCATCAATTAGGGCTTAAAAATAATGTGAAACTGTTGTTTGTTCATAAAGTTATTTCCGCTTTGTAATATGAAATAAATAAATATTTTATTTGGCACTAATGGACTCTTTTGATATAACCGTATTTAACGGCTTGAGTTTTAGGGTTCCGTTACCAAAGAAAGGGAGACAATGGAACCCTCAATCAGTCCATCAGTATGTAAGCGGGCTGCATTCTTATGCATATAGGATCATTTAATATTTCATTTATGAAATCATTATATAAGTGAAACTTAAAACCATACAGAACAAGTTCGTAATTTCATCGCTCTTTATTTAAACATACTTAGTTACTACATTGCCATCTATAGTCTGTCTTTTTACATCACGTAATTTACCAAAGAATGCTTGAAAAGTTATGGACAGGTCCTGTATTTGTAATAGCATGGACCAAATTGGCCCATGGTTAATAGATATGATTGTAAAAAAATTCTTTACCCCTGCTCCGCTGCTGCCTGTAATGTGACATGCGATAGATTACGAAAAAAATTGAGGTGATGGAACAAAAACTTCCATTTCAATAAAATTAAAATGGTGCTTCCCGTAAAAATATTATGTAGTTAACATGAAATTTCCATTTTTTTTGCGAATCTACGTGATTCACTCTCACTTGGCCTAATTTTTAACTCTCAAGAGAAATCAAAATTTACCATGGATTAACATATTACAAAATTGCTACGTAGCCTGTCATCAACCCGTTCCGTGCGATCTAACACTTTGATGGGGCTTCAAGGAAATTTTGAATTATTTTATTATGCGTACATTGCCTCTTTCTGTTTTTTTATATATATACATTATAATAAAATGGTAGGAAATTTAATACTGTACATTGAACATTTTTTTAAAAGAATACTTGGGCTGTGATCTATAATCGATACCGAAGCCAAAAATATAGTTTTTAGAATTTTTGGCTGTTTGTCTGTATGTATGTCCGGGATAAACTCAGAAAGTACTGCATGGATTTACTTCAAATTTGGCACGAATATTATTAAGAAGTTGGGTCAACATATAGGCTACTAATTATCACGCTATCACCTTTGGGGAACGAGCAGTGAACCTTTATTCCTAACTAACTCCAAACGTACGAAGTGGCGGGCGGCCGCTATTTTATTTATACCTTTGGACAGCATTAAAGTGTACACTTGAAATCCCTTTAAACAATTTGAAAGCTTTTATATCTATAGTAATAAAATTCAAGATGACTGCTGAAAATACGGCGATGGTGGTGACCCCAAAAAGTATGGGAATGAAGCTGGTGATTTCAGTTATTGAAAGATTTCGATTTTTATAGAAGGCATAGATACTTTCATCCCACCAGATGTATGGTATGATTAGGGTACACTTGCGAAGCTAGCTGATGCAACAAATATCCTAACCACCCTTACCCATCCTCTCCTAGCCAGTCAGCCAGTGCAACTTTCACCACAAGTAGTAAAGTCGGTTAATTTCAAAATTCCCAGTAACTTAGTTTCCAGCAATTTTACTTTCCTATGTTGCAATAAACTTAGAAACGTTTAATAACAAAAAAAAACGGGGGGTCATGGCCCAAACTCCCTATTCCATCCATAGGGAAGGTCTGTGCCCCCGCAGTGGGGACATTAATAGGCTGATGATGATGACTCCCAGTAAAAATCCTATATTCCCAGGAACAGCATCATCACAAACACAAATCTGTAGAAGTGACTGAACGAAATTGATGTGAAACTTTGAAAAAAAAAAGATATTATTAAAAATAATCAGAGAATATTTGGTAGATTTTAAAGATAAAAAACTAATAATATAAAACTAGGTTAAGTTTAAATGACATAAATTAAATAATAAAATACACTAACAATAAATTCGCATCATAAAAATCTCAACCCTATGGTTTGGACTGGATTTTTGTAACACGCAGCAACACCTAAATGACGTTTAGGGTTAATGTTATTTAATATTGAAATTGCGAAAATTTACGATTGATGGAAAATGATTCCAGTGTCCTTATTTATTTTAATATTATGTTACTGTATTAAACTGGTATTTTTCTTTTTTTTATGGCCAAATTTCAATATAACATTTGGTACGTACACCTCATACACAACTGTCAGTGTGACTGGCTCGGTGAAGGCCGACTTTGGTGTAATATTTGTTGCCGCATTTGACAAGTACGCCAGTGGTCGAGCGAAGTGAGACAGTCATTTATCTATGACCAGGTATACCTGTCATAGATAGACCTATAGGTAAGGATGAGTGTGGTTTTTCAAATAAAACAAAGCTGTTGAAAGTTGAACTACCTTTCCAGCACATTTTTTTTCAAAATTATAAATATATGTATATAAATATTTCCAACACTCACACCAATTAGCCTAGCCCAAAGTAAGCACTGTAAGGCTTGTGTTATGGGATGCTAGGGTAACGGATAGAATCATATACAGTACATATATAAGTATATTTATATAGAAATACATATTAAACATCCATGACTGGAGTACAAATGCTCGTGTTCATCACACAAACATCTGCCCCACCGGGATTTGGATTTGGACCTCTCGAGTCGGCGACACCATGAAACTCAGGGTACAAACCACTCGGCCACGGAGGTCGTCGAATATTTTTTTCAACACAGTTTCTCGTAAATTGACACTCATTACACTGTTTTTAGTTTCATCTTTCAGCATATTCCCATACTTGAGCTGTAAAAATATTCCCGTTCAGGTGCTCGGTGCTGTAACATTATTATACATTAATATATTTTTTTAATTTTAACCAAATTTATGTCGGAGGACATTGAATATTTTTACGAAAATTAAATTATTTTAGGGTAAAGACGACAAATAAACATTTCATATCATATTTATAAACACAAATTACTGAACTGTCGTATTGAGAAACATTAATTTATAGTTTATTTTATTTTTTATATAGCTATATATAAAAAATAAAATAAACAGGAATATAGGAGCAGCTGCTCCTCGGGCTACCACAGCCGGTTTTTCCTGAACCTGTGCGCGCATCAAAAGTGGGGCGCGCGAAAAAAATCTAAACTTACGCGACATTTTCCGTAAATAGTTGGTAAAGTTGCTGCTGTGTGGTTTTTAGTAACCTTACTATCAAAAATTTTTACTTCAAAAAGTGAAGCTGAGCAAAATATTAAATCAACCCCGCCGGAAATACTTATCGAGGCACGAAACACGAGTGGAAATCCTGTTGCCACCAAAATCCAGAGAAAAATACCTATGGTTTTCAAAAGATTATAGAACAAATAAATTTAAAGTAGCTGAATAAAGTGTCTACCTATGTTGAAGAGCGCAGATGTGAAAATTACATTTCGCAACACAAACGGAATGTGACTTTACTCTGACGTTGCCCCCACATTATTAAAATTGCATTGCAGCCGGAGAATCCATTACAATGGATACACTACTAACATAACTCTTACTTCTTTGTAAAAGGGCGCTGTCATAAGAACAGTCTACGTGGAAGTCAATCTAGGATTAATAAAAAGAAACTAAAGGCAACTGATTGAATGAACTGATTGATGTAATAAATGGTAGATTCATGACACTCACAACTCGAACACGAAAAAATCTTCTCTTGTATGTTGATGGGGTAGGGTCTACAAAATAATTAAATTAGATTGCAAATCAACATGACAATGTTTCATGTATGGAGTACGACATTATTTATAAAAAATATTTTATTTTAACTACATTCTTTGTTATTAATAAAAATGTCAATAGCCTGACGCACATTTGCATGTTAAAATAATGGCTGCTGACAGACAGACGCACAGACGAACAGCGGAGGCATAGGAATAGGTTTTCTACCTAACCCTAAGACTGTAATGCTTTATTTTTATTATGTTACTATTGCCTTGTTCACACGTACCGAGCAAATGAGCGAGATAGTGCTCTCTGCCGAGTACTCGGTACGTAAAAAAATAGCGCTGAGTGCTCGGCCATGCGCTCTTACATGAGTGTAAGGAATTACAATATATTTATTGATTCATACTCGATTTATATTTATAATATGATTTTTTTTTGCTAAGTGTAAAATTAGTCTATGGTTGGCAGAATGCTTACCTTTGCGTTTGCTCACGTGGTGCGGTGACATTCCTTTCGCTCAACCATCGGCGAGTCATTCGCTCGAGTAACGCGGTGTCGGACGGTCGTCTTGTAAAGTTATACTGTTACAATACTTAAAAGTGTAAAAAAAG